TGTGTGTGTGTGTGTGTGTGTGTGTGTGTGTGGTGTCATTTTGGTTGTATGCATGTTTATCAGTGTCACTTTGTTACGAAGCTCTCCTCGCCTAAATCTTTCAAGAGTTCAGTTTCCTTTGAAGTGGGTGTCAAAACTTTGAATTTTGAATGAGCCTGACATAAGAAAGGAATAATGTTTCTGGATGATTGCATGCCATTTACTTTGCAGATTTGTATGTCTGTTAATAACGGTTAATAGTGTTGATGTTCTTGCTTGAACGGCTTTTGTCTCCATTTAAGAAAATTGTCCATTGATCCATGGCATCATATTCTCTTGATTCCAATATGGCCTTTTAGGTCTTTCCGAATACTGAGGTTGGAACAATACGCATCACAGGAAAAACTATAATATTTCGGAATGAGGCATCTCCCATGGATCAATAAATTTTTTTGATGGAGACTATGCTTTGATGCTTATGCTTATTATTATTGCTATTATTATTGCTATGATTATTATTATATGATTGGCTTACCTTTCGCATTCATTACGCATTGATGCATTCTATTTTTCTGGAATTTTACTTTCATTTTCAATCATTCTTCTCATAAAAAAAATTAAAATCACAGACTCAATGCAGTCAGCAGCCATCATTTATATATGATACAATTTGAACAGGTCTGTAGCATTGCGCTTAAAGCGTAAGTTATTAAAACGGGGAGGAAATGTCCGAATATAAAGTAAACTTTAGAAGGTACTCGATACTTAAAGATTGCTGTAAATTCAAACGACAGTTCATTTAAAGAATTTTTTCTTTCTTTTGCCATAATATAACCTTCTATGCTAATATAAATTAAAAGCATAAGTAAATTTCTTTTTAATCAATAATTTCTACTTCATTTTTGAACTTGCTCAAAATGATGCACCTTTGAATATATGATGCAATCAATCATCAAGCAGAATTCTATTTCATTTTACTATTAATCGAATGAATAAATTTTTATATTAATTGTTAAAATTCATTCATTTAACCAACAATCTTGAGGCCAAGTAACGCTTCTTTCGCTTTAACAGTGGATGATTTTGTAGATTGTAATTTTTGAATTTGGAGTTATGGAACTTATCAGATTTTTTCCTTCCCTTCCAAAATAATTTGTCTATCGATGGCGTTCAACGACCATGCAAAATTAAACTTTGTTTAAAAATTTTAATAAATTAAAGAACCGTGATATTAAAAAAGAAAATTTTCCAATAACACCGATAAGCTGAAATTATTTAACATTTCATTTTCATTTGTTGAATATTAAAACTGATAATTCTGTCGGATGATATCCTGGATGCACTTGTATACGGTTTCCTTCTGTAAATCATGGGGTTATCAAGGCATACAGCATTTTGAAGGATTGCAATAAATATCCTTCCGGTTTTACCGGTATATCTCTGTTAGGTATTCCAGTCCTTTTTTCATTGCTGTGATAATGTTGAAAGAATTGGTTTTTGAGTAAACGTCCTATCCAGTTGCTTGGCACTTCCACACTTTTATTGTTCTAATAGTCCAAGCAAAATGTATTTTTTTTGCACCTTTTTCTTCAAACGTCAAGATGGACGCGATCTCAGGAATGAACATCCCAAATGTGCGGATAGATAAATCGGAACTCCATAGCACTACTTGTTTTTTTTGACTTTGGAAAATGATGCCCAAAGGGAAGCATTTAAAAATTTAGTACGAAAGTAAAAAAGTGCACTTTTTGATGAAATATTCGCATTATATTATATATGGAGTGAAATCTGCGATTTTGAGGAGGCGACGAATAATTTCAAATTAACATTTGCAAATTCGATCAGAAATGCTGAACTACATCGTACGCAATTTGTTGAATCCATCATTACTTTGAAATTTTTAAACCAATTTTTAGAATGTTTACAGAAGTTATCATAACTTGAAAAAAAAAGTATTTTTCCTCATTCTATCATCTGTATATGTTTTCTTATTTCAATTTTTTCTTTCTTCAAGTGTCACATATATGCATAGCAGGATAGATTGTAAAAATTTCGGCATTAAAGAGTGACTGACATGAAAAGGTTGGAATGATAAAAGTTTCAGCTTGAGGAGTATGCAAATATATCGGTATCATAACTTTTGAATTCAGATATCGGATTCTTTTCTCTTGATCAGTTTCCTAAAATCTTATGATTCACGCCATTATCATGCCTGAAAAATTTCCATTGTCAGCCAATTTAAAGTACTAGCTGGTGTTAATGAGTGTAAATATTTTTTGCTATCATATCACACTTTTTCAAGTTAATTTTCTAGGCATTTCCCACATCAAAATAATTCAACAAATTTATTAATCCTCTTTTTTGCTTCCATGAAAATTTTCGTCTGAAAAAGGAAGAAATGTCTGCTGACTTATTTTAATCATACCCAACTTAGTAATTTGTATCCACAAGAAAAATATATTCAGGCTTATGTACTTGTTATTTTAGTTAAATTGAATTGAACCAAATCTTTGCATTTGGTCCCAGACAGCTTTATGAAATTATAACTTTTTCATTGTAAATTCAATTTGTTCAATCGTTGCCCCACTTATGTCCAGCCTTTGCATTGCATACGCGTGTAGATGCTCGAAGATTGTATGCCGAAAATTCTACTTGATTTCTCAAACCCAAACATTCTTTTCTATATACGAAATAATTAAAATTTAAGTGAATGCTGTGAGACAAATTTAGAAAAATTTAATAACTTGTTAAATTTGCAAATGTGAATAATTTTTACATCTATTAAATATAATGTGCAATTGTCAAACTTCATAAATTGCATATTCAATTTATTGCATGATGACTTTTTACCTAATTCAAAGAACGTTTTCCTTTTTATTCATTACACTATGTTAATCGCTGCTTTAAACAGAAAATGAAAATTGAAAATTACATTTTAACGTCTGTTTCTATTTATTGATGGTATGCCTTAGGAATTTTAACTGAAATTAACAAAATTAAAACTTAAAAATCGTTTTTATGTCCGTAACTATTTCTTTACCAAAATACAAAATGTTCCGTATTTTAGATTTCTTTATATTGTCATACAGCTGTCAACCAGATAGTATTGTTTTTTGTTTGAGAATTTCTTTCATTATGATGGATATTACTTTTTTCCTTCCTGCATTTTCAATTGTTATGAAATATATTTTGAAAAAAATCCCTTAATTTTTTCGTATAAATTTAAAAATTTTACTAGTTTAAATTAAATAGTTTTTGATTGTAAGTTTCTGACATTGCAATCATTTTTCCTGACTATTTTTTGAAATCTTGTCTTTTCTTCTGAAAATATTTCAAAATTATTCATTATCAGCAATAATTAAGTTTATCAAGATTTTCATAAAATTTTGAATTATTTCTGAAATAAGAAACTATTTTAAATTTTTTCAAAAAGTTTTCGATTTGATTAAAAGAGTCTGTAAATAATCGTTTGACATAAAAAATAGCTGTGAAGATTGCTCGACATGGCAATTTCTACATTGTCCATAATGAGGGAAATGTAATGTAGAGGTGAACAGATAGCGAGAAAAAATTTGCAAAATTATGTTAAAAAGGCTTTTTTGTAAAGGATTTCTTTTAATTGCTAGGAATCGGAAAACTTTCTGCTTCTTTTTTGTTCGCTTAATAATTATCACTGTGTTCTTAAGTGCCTGCTAAACGTTGGCTATTCTATCTCGTTTTCTAATCTTTGTATTATTTCCAAATAATTTCTGCTTTTCAATTTAATAGGTAGTTTCATTGAATTATCTGAGAATTATCGCATTCTGAACGAGATTCGAGCTTTGGCTTTGATAAGTTGTACAAAGTCGACGGTAACAGTTTGATTGATAAAATGAAATGCTCGCTTCATGTATTTTCGCTTTCCTAACATTGTCTCAAATTGTTGGGTTGCTGCAATTTCCATTGTGGTACTACTATTGGGAAAAAATGAGTGGCTTTATGCAAAAAGCAGTAAAGTTATATTAATTAGCTTCTTTTCTCCCAAATTTTTTTTAGGTCAAGAAGCTGTTGGACGGAACACATCAGTTGCGCATCGACGGTCATCACGTCGGAAGCGCCGGCCCTGGCGCTGGTATTTCATTTTTAATATTTTGAAATTTATTTAAGTTTTCAAAATAATTGAAGAATGTGAAAATAGAAATGGAAGTGATTTCAAACTTTTTAATGATAATGCACTTAAAAATCCACTTTTGGAGAAAGTAATTTGTAGTAGCTATTTTAGTGAAAAGCTCTTCACTGCAAAAGTCTTATAAAGCGTGATGAGTTGGCGGTTATCAACTTTGTATTATATTCTTGTAGTCAACACCAACATCATGAAAAGGATAAAGAAAATTTTTTTGCTTGATCATTTTTCATTTTGGAATTTCTAAAGCAGTTTACGTTGGTTTCCCAAGAGTCAAGTTTTTTATTGTTGTACAAATCAAGAAAAATCCAAAAGACAGACTTATCAAATTGATGCTTTTAAAACTACACTTCCCTTCCTGTTTGATTATAAAATGCTCATATGCTAAGATGACAGAAAATTCTTCCGGTCTTTAAAATGTCAGAGATTAAAATTCCGATGTGCGACTCATTTTTTGATTGAAGTAGATATGAAGAATAACATAAGTTTTGAATAAAATTTCTAGGAAATGATTAACTCCATAGGAAGAGCACTAAAGAAAAAGCTAAATAAGCTCCCAATAAAAAAAGCTGCAAAAATAGCATCAAATAAGGAGAAAAAAAGCGTACTATGCTATAAAGCAAATTACTCTTTTGAAATAATAACTAAGCTATGTATAGGCCACGGACATAAAAAGGAATTTGGTCCAGCGATGATACTGTACTATTTGGCATCCGCTTTTCGGACTCTTTATCCACGACTTGATGATGATTTTGTTGATAAATTAAACTATTATTATACGACTACGATACGTAAGTTTCTCAATTATACTGATGATATCTTTCAGTTACAAAAAAAAGTAAAATTTGCTTTTACCTTCTCTGCTAAAACTGGTTGTTGCGAACAAAGGAGATGATGATAAAATACCTATCTTTAGGATATAAGTGGTTTTTTGATGGATATTTACTGCTTATTTGACAATCGTTGGCTGCAACAACTTGACATTTAACTTGTTAAAGATTTAGTGACATTGATTAGTTTCTTCACTCTCCATTCTTTGCACTGCTTCAAAATAGTTTTCTCATCAGCTTGCTTACTGCTTTCTCTCTTTATTTTAAAAGTTGAAATTGAATTATCTTCCAATAAAAATTCGGAGTGTATTTTATCTAAAACAATTTCAGTAGCGTCGTTTGCGCTTCTTGTTTCTGCCAAACAGTACGTTGGTGAGTAAATTTGATTTCCTCTGATTTGATTTTATGCACTTTTTTTTTCTTTCAACTGCTCAAAATGCAGAGGAACTTTTCTCACAGATTCTACCTTCTCATTGATATTCTTTTTTTCAGGTTTTCCAATACAGTGTTGGGTTCCTGCAACTTTCACAGATGCTATGGAACAATACACAGAAAATTACTGCTGGGTGCAAAATACCTACTGGGTGCCTATGCAGGTAAATCTTATAAATTATTACTTACTAGACTAAAATATTGATATTAAAATTAATTTATTCTTTATATTCTTATGCATCCACGCTCAGCAATCTTTTTCTTGCATGCAGTAAAAATCCTTTTTATTCTGCTGCAGGAAGATATTCCACGAGAAATCTATTCGCGGAGGAATCGCCAAATTGGTTATTATCAATGGGTACCATTTATTCTAGCTATAGAAGCATTGCTTTTCTATGTGCCTTGTATATTATGGAGAGGAATGTTATACTGGCACTCAGGTATTGCCAACATCATTTTACAAATTATGTTAATTCTTCTGACTTTTAATAGTGATGTTAAAAATATTCAGGAATCAATTTGCAAGGTCTTGTGCAAATGGCATGCGATGCAAGACTCATGGATGCGGATGTTAAAAGTCGTACGGTGTACACCATGGCACGACATATGGAAGACGAAGTACAAGTAAGTTCTTTGCTTTCCCTAAAACAGCATTTCTCTAAGAAATGTCAGCTTGATATGTTTCAAAACATTTTTATTGATACAAATTTCTACTAACAAGGAAAGATCGACGAAGCGAACTATATTTTAGTTAGCGCATCTGGAAAGACATGGACATCCACGAGCTTGTTTTCCATTTTTGCAGGCGAGAGGTCAATGTGGAAGACACTGCGGATGCTATGTTACTATGTTATACATTGGTATCAAGGTTAAGTTTTTATTATGTTCAGAGCTAAAGTTACTGACTCATTGATATACTTCATGGATGGAATAAGGACAATATGAAATATCAGTAGACTAAAATTGTATGAGATTTTGCTTTCCTGAAATATCCGCTCTGTCTTGATAGCTGCCTTAACTTCTGGAACGTTGAATATCTATAAAAGCATGCCTATTATAACGGTATTAAAAAGTTAAGATAGGATGCATAGCTCGTAACAATGACGATTGTAATAATGACGCCAATGATGCTGACGACAGAGTTTGGGATTGTTTATCGTTTCATAATTTTGGCTGAAAATTTTGCTATTTTTCAGATATTATATTCGGCAAACGTCCTATTGCAGTTCTTCCTGTTAAATCATCTATTAGGTGCGGATGATCTTACGTATGGTTTTTCATTACTGCGCGATCTGATGCATGAAGTTGAATGGGAACAAACGGGAATGTTCCCGCGAGTAACACTTTGCGATTTCGAGGTATCTCATTATCGAGTTATTTCATTGTTGGTTGAAAACTGAACACTTTTTTATTTGAGGTGCGAGTGCTCGGTAATATTCATCGGCACACAGTGCAATGTGTGCTGATGATCAATATGTTCAATGAAAAAATCTTCCTTTTTTTATGGTTTTGGTTTTTAACCGTTGGTTTGATAACAGTGTTCAACAGTTGTTACTGGATACTTGTAATGTTCATTCCAAGTCAGGTAACCTTCCATTCACCACTTACCAATTTTGCTCTCTAACTTTCCGTTTACCATTTATTCTCCATCTTCCTATTAAACTTTAATCGTAATGTTTTCAGAATAAAGACTAGGATAAATTAGATAAATTAAATCAAAATCTAATTGAAACTGAAATATAGAACAGCAGTTTATAAAATCTTTAATGAAAGATTATTAAATATTCGACAAGTCCTAGTTATGACTGACATTATGAGACTATGCGAGGTTCCAAACAATGATTTTTCGATAACCGTAGCACTGTGGAAGTTTATTGATAATTCTACCATTATCACCTATATTACTAGTTCTGCTTTTTTATGTTAAAGAGTATTTTACTAATCGATTTATTTCGTCTTTCGGCTGTGTTATGATTCCTCTGTTTTTAAATTTCAAGACTCGAAATTCTCAAAACTTGAATTAATTTTGTTCTAATTTCGTACAGGGAATGTCTTTTATTCGCAAATATTTACGAGCATTAAGTGATCATCCAACAAAGCCGGCAGCTGATGATGTATCACTCCGGAAATTTACGAATCAATTTTTGCGTAAAGATGGTGTATTTATGCTTCGAATGATCTCAACTCATGCCGGTGAACTGATGAGCAGTGAATTAATTCTTGCGTTATGGCAGGTGAGAATTTCATATGAATTAATGAGCTAATTCTATTCGTCGATGATAAAGTTCGCATGGACCTGAACCAAATTCACTCATTAAATCTAATTTAGTGTGCAAATTCTATGCTTTGGTCCAAGTTTAAAGATTTAGATTTTCCAACGTATTGATCTTGTTTCGATTCTTGATCACAATATCAATCTTATTTCGCAAGATTGATATTGTGATCAAGAAATCGATTTGCAGGATGTTATAAAACAAAATCTCACGAAGCATATGTTCCCCTCAGGAAACGATTGGAAAATCTCAAGTTTCTGAGTGAAGCAATTCAAATCACCCAACAAAACCATACCTTTCAAGGAAATACCATATTCTTAAATATATGAATCTTATTGATTGTTAGTACTTAATACTCCAGGACTTCAATAATATTGATCGCTCGTCCGCTCAATTCTGGGATGCTGAACACGGTGCTGGGACACTGAACGCCTAATTATTTAAAATGATTTCAAAAATTCTGAGGTTTGTTCATTACTCGTCGCTATAGGCCAAGAAAATTGTTCATATTTGAAAAATTTAATTCAAATTCTGAAAAAAAAATCATGCATAAAATTTGGTTATAACTTGCCGTTCTCTGCAAGTGAAGAGAATTATTTAACCAGTTCTTTTTTTTTTCTTTTTTTTGTTTTTGTGCTACTTTAACAAAAAGTTTTTTTGTTAAAACAAATATTTTTATTTTTAGCGATGAAGAGGCAGTATTCGTAAAATCTTAAAAAAAAATGTCTCTTTTCAACTGCTTCCGTTGTTTTTAATGATTAATAAGGTCCCCCGTGGGAATTTTTTTTCAAATCCCAAAAAAACAATGTTTTTTACCAAATATGTCATTATCTTATTACTATCATCCTTGTTTTTTACTGAAACTATTTTCGTCCCTTAATTCGACCGATAAAGTTTTCAATTTCGAATGTTTTTGAGGAATTTCTCTGTTTAAACCAGGAAATCTTGAATAATTCATGTAGATAAAATCGAATTTTTCGTTATGTTTCAATTCATCGCTTTGCTTCGGATTCGTTTTGAAATTTCATTTTATTTTAGCTGGCATTCTGGAGTCAATATTTACTTCGCTGGTACAATCAATTCACATATTCTATAAGAAAAGGGAATTATATTCCTGAAACTTTGCACTCTAACAATAATAATAAACAACACTATAATTAATAATAACAAATAATAACAAATAATA